GTAAATGCTGGAAATGTTCAAAGCTGTGATTTTGTCAGAAGAGATACTGTTTCTCTAGCCAAGTTTATTCTGAGCTGCTCACACCCTTGTCCCGGGAGCCACCAGGTGATCAAAAATAACCCAGATGCTGAACTTCCACTTAATAACTCCACAGGGTATACATCCTGTCAAAAAATCAACTAGAATGATTCTTTTTACTATTTCTTTGCTTTTTATTCTTTTGCTTTTTAAAAACATTGACAGACATGTGATGAAACAAACATTACCCCAAATGTCAAGAGACCTAAAATCACATCTCAGCTTTGTTGCTACATTAATCTGTGACTTTGTTGGGGGGGGGTCACCTTACTTCTCTGGGCCTCAGTTTTCTTAACCAGAAATATAGACAGTGATACCATTTTCACGTAGCTATAGGTATAAAGGCCCTTTAAAACATATAGTAGTGGTAGTGTAGTGATAAAAAATAGTGCTTCTTTTTACCAATAGTAAAACAGTACAAAATAAGTCATTTATTTAAGAAGACCTCTATTCTTCAGCCAAGAAGGCCAATCCAAATTCAGTTGCAGAAGGCTAATTATGCAAGAAGAAAAATAGAGACTTCACAAGTTTACAGGCTGAAGAGTTACCACTCTCTCCTTACATTAAGGTAATGGAAGGATGGCTAACTATGATTAGTGAAAAAAAGTGGAGGCTGCGGTTTTCACTGACCAATAGAACAATGCCCATGTTCACAGAGCTTTGCTTCTCACATGAACATCATGATAACTGACAGGTGGCTTGCCCTCTGTGGTAGCTCCAGACACTGCCCCACCTGTCCAGTGCCTGTTTCCATTCAGATTTAGGCTGAAATATATGGGTACTCCCCTTGAGTCTGCTCGGTGCCATCACAGGTGCACTCGTTGTGTTGGTTGGTGAATACAGCAGCAGATCTCTGTCCACCCAGAATATCATGGCAGCCTTTACTTCCTCTCTGATACTATCCCCCTGCATTCCTCAAGGTGAATTTCACTTGTGACCCCCTTACACACTCATATGTATGGTAAAATCTTTAGAAAAGTACCTAGGAAGTATACTTAGCAAAAGAGGAAAATGGTGACATACTCACACCCCAAGATAGAGGGAAACAGCAGTCTAGAGACCACATCCAGAAAGTACGAAGTCCAGGCACAAAAATAAAGAAATATTTACTCAAAATTTCCTATGTTATCACGTGGTTAAAAGAGCAGCAGCTTTAACTCAGAGAAGATTTAATTTCTCTCCTTACCAGCTGTATCCTCTCAGATAAGCTAATTAACTTATAGAGCTGGTTAACTCATCCATAAAATGAAGGTGATAATACATGCTGTCGGGTCATTCTGAAGATTATACGTTTTGTAAAGCATCTAGAATAGTTCCTGACACTTAGGGAGTGCTTGTAAATGTTTAACTTTTCTCCATGTTTTATTACTCAGAGCAAACAACAGTCTATGAAAGAAGGCAAATAGATGCTGTTATAATGCAAAGTAATAAGTGACTAAATTATAAGTAAGAACAAAGTATTATGAGAATCAAAAATTTAGTCTTCAAGAATAAAGTCTCACCAGTGAGAAAAATTGCATCTAATAAAGGGCGTAGCAGGAGTCCAAAGTCTTTGGCAAGGCCAAGACTTTAACAGACATGGTGGCTCATGCCTGTAATCTCTGCACTTTGGGAGGCCAAGGCAAGTGGATCACCTGAGGTCAGGGGTTCAAGAGGAACCTGAACAATAAGGTGAAGCCCTGTCTCTCTAAAAATACAAAAATTAGCCAGGCGTGGTAGTGCACATCTGTAGTCCCAGCTACTGGGGAGGCTGAGGCTGGAGAATTGCTTGAACTCAGGAGCTGAAGGCTGCTGTGAGCCTAGATCATACCATTGCACTCCAGCCTGGGCAACAAGAAAAAAAACTTGATCTCAAAACAAAAACAAAACAAAAATCTTTGGCAAGGCTAAGAGCAATGAGTTTCAGGGTAGCTGAAATGAAGATTTTGTTTGACTTGTCTCATAATGGGGCAGGGATTAGCTTGGAGTGGGATTAGGAAGGTGATTGGCTTGCCAAGAGATGACATTGCAAATGTGACAACCTCTACCAGGGCTACCTTGTAAAGGATCTAAGACATACCTTGGAGGCATGGTAAAAAGAGGCTAAACATGGATGTCCTAAGTTTATGAAGCAAGATGTGCTAGAAGATAAACAGCTTCAATTTCTCCATTATTCTCAGTGTTTTAATCACTGAATTTTTGGTTTGTGACCTCTATGATTAAACTTTAATATAGTCTTGGTGGGTTGTACATGAATTATGCATTTCCCTTTTTTCCTTTTTATTTAAACATAATCACTTGAAAAAAATTCAGGTCTCAAATTTTACCATTGCATTGTACCTCTAGGAATTTGCCATCCTTTTTTCATTTTCTTCCCAGTTTCAAAGAAACCCCATTGACTGTCATACTCAAAAATCTTTCTATTATTGGGACCTTGAAAACATGGGCTTGATAAAATATAATACAAATACAACTGTATTTTGTTTCTCTTTTCTTAAAAAATATATTCAGCAAGGAAATTATTTAATTGCCCTACATAAAATCTCAGGAAGTTCCACACATTTTCCCATTACTCACAGATAATACAGAGATTCCATGGTCATTTTTAACTGTCAGCACAATTCAATTCTATTAAAAAGTCATTCTCTTCCAGGTATTAATTATAATTAACTGCTCCACAGTTTAAGCCCTCTTTCCTTAGCTTAAACTGAATGAAAACAACTGAAAGGAAAAATGAAAAACTGAAAGGAATCGCATCCTTTTCCTCTCTCCCTTACTTGTCCCTCAACTTGCTAGGTGCTACAGCAGATGCTTCTGGGACTAAAAAGTGAGAAATACACAGGTAAAGGAAATTCACATTTTTCCTGCCACAATATAACCTCATGAATTCCAGGCCTGGTAGTCATTTGTAGCCTGCCATTTCTCTGGTTGATTCTTTTTTTTTTTTTTAGTTTTGAATAGTTTTTATTTATTTTTTTCCCATTTATTTATTTTATTGTATTTTAGGTTTTGGGGTACATGTGAAGAACATGCAAAATTGTTGCATAGGAACACACCTGGCAGTGTGATTTGCTGCCTTCCTCCCCATCACCTACATCTGGCATTTCTCCCCCTGCTATCCCCCCCCAGCTCCCCACCCCCCACCGTCCCTCCCCTATTTCCCCCCAACTGACCCCAGTGTGTAGTGCTCCCCTCCCTTTGTCCATGTGCTCTCATCGTTCAACACCCGCCTATGAGTGAGAACATGCGGTGTTGATCTTCTGCTCCTCTGTCAGTTTACTGGGTATATATCCAAAGGATTACAAATCGTTCTACTATAAGGACACGTGTACACGAATGTTCATTGCAGCACTGTTTACAATAGCAAGGACCTGGAACCAACCCAAATGCCCATCGACGATAGACTGGATAGGGAAAATGTGGCACATATACACCATGGAATATTATGCAGCCATCAAAAACGATGAGTTTGGGTCCTTTGTGGGGACATGGATGAATCTGGTTGATTCTTAAGTGAGCTCTTTGGAGGATCCCTTGCTGAGCCCCTCTCACTGCTACTTTTAAATGTGAGTGATTCAAACTTCTAGCTACTGCTTCTTCTTCAGCCTCTGCTGTTGTGAAAATATACTAGGAGTTCACTAAGCAAATTACACAATGGAAACACTTCAGGAAACAGACACGTGATGTGGAAAAATATTCTGAATATGTTGAAGTTCAAGACAAGAACAGTGAAAGATGAGTTTGAAGGATAGCCAGAGGACAACTCGTGAAATAGTAAGCAAAACTAATGACCACTCTCTATTGAGGACTTCCTGTATCTCAGGCACTCTATTTAGATTTTCACATATAAAATCCATTCAGTTATTATAAACACATAAAAAATCTGAGGAGAACAGCATATTTTAAGTAAGAAAGTTACTAGTCAAACTTTACTTACACAAAACTTAGTGACCTTTCTAAACTGTGAAGCTGATCATACTATCTCCTTGTTTGGAATACTCAATCCTGAAGAAAAACACTCAAACTTGTAATGATATGAAAATTCATTGTCTAGTTACTCCAGCACCTAGAACAACCTAATTTATGATGGCTGAGTCTACTCATGGTTTCTTTAAAAGACTAAAAGAATAAATCACATCAATTGATCAGTAAAATATTCACAATAGTTTCTACTACGGTTAATTTGCCTTCCTGCTCTTACCCCAGCTGCTTGAAGATGTTATTTATTCTCTCTGCCTAAAATGCTTTGCAGCCACTCCATTCCATTCTACCTGCCTAATTCCTATTTGTCCATTAAGTCTTAAATCAGACTACTGCAGGGTGCTCACATTGAACTCTGAAGACCATGATGATTATGTTTCTTATGAACTTAGTGGACTGGCCTAACATCCAAGAAAAGTCTGTTGAATAAAAGTATCATATATACAGATATGTTTTGAAAATCTTGGCTCTGCCAATTATTTGAAATGTTATCATGTAAAAGTCTCAAATTTTTGGAGCCTTTATTTCTTTACTATCAAATGAGAATAAAGAATATCATTAGACTGAAGGTAAGCAATGAGCACTGTCTTTTATGTGTTCAGTATTCAGCTGACGCTTGAACAATGCAGGCTTAAACTGCACAGGTTTACTTATATGTGGATTTTTAAAAATAAAACTTACACCAAGGGTGCCTGCCTCTCCTGCCTCTCCTTCCACCTCTTCCATCTCTTCTGCCTCTGCCATTCCTGAGACAGCAAGACCAACACCATTTTTTCCTCCTTCTCCTTAGCCAATTCAATTTGAAGATAAAGAGGATGAAGACCTTTATGATGATCCAATTCCACTTAATGAACACTAAATATATTTTCGCTTCCTTATTTTTTCTAATTTTTAAAAATTTTATATGCATATATAATAGATGTGCTTATTTAGTGACACGTGATCTTTTGATATAGGCAGACAAAAATATGGAATATTTCAAGAATTTGTGTTTCATCCTTGTGCAAGGACTATGCTCATCTATGTATTTTACTCATTTTAGTATATGTGTTGCTGAAGTGATGACATAATTTTCTTAATAACATTTCTTTTTTCTAACTTACATAATTGTAAGAATATAGTATGTAATACATATGACATAAAAATATGTGTTAGTAGACTGTGTATGTTATTGTAAGGCTTCCAGTCAACAGTAGGCTATTTGTTGTTAAATTCGGGGGGGTCAAAATTTATTATTCTTGGATTTTCTTTGTTTTACCTTTAAGTTCAGGGGTACAAGTATAGGTTTGTTACACAGGTAAACTGTGTCATGGGGATTTGTTGTACGGATCATGTCATCACCCAGATATTAAGCCTCACACCTATGGGTTATTTTTTCTAATCCTCTCCCTCTACCTACCCTCTACCTTTCTGTGCATGGGTGGGCACGCCTCACTGTCCACATTGTTCAAGGGTCAACTAGATATTATTTCTTTCCTATTCATTCTCCCTTCTAAAGTGCCGAAGGCAAGAAATCATCTATATTAACTGTCAAATAAGTTGTCTGGACATTGTTGATACTCATTAAGTGCTGTTTCAATTCCCATAAATGACAGGCAATTTATAATCCCAGAGTGTTCTTTAATAGCCACTAAGCCTTTACTCAAGAGTATTAAAGGTAAATTGGCCCAAACACTTGTATTAAACTTATCTAAATAAAAGTTGGGAGACAGATTTTATAGCTAAATCCTAGATGTTCTATAAAACTACTCATGTGTGTGTGTGTGTGTGTATGTGTGTGTGTGTGTATACATGTATTTTAATAACAAAGAGCAGCTATTTGCTTTTTAACAAAGTTCATTTAAACAGCTATAAGCTTTGGCCAATGTATTTTCACTGCATACAGAATATGCAAAATCTGCTTTATACCGTATCCTAGCTGGTAAAGTATGTATTGAATATAATAACAATACTCGGCCCAAAGCACGCAGTGTTTCCCTCAGTTACCTTTTAATTATCTTGCCCGTTACCTTTTAATTATAAACCTGCATGAGGCTTCAAAGCCCTGATCCTCTTTCTTTGACCCTGCTTATACAGAAGACTGGATTTCCTGAATGCCACAGCTACTTCTTGACTCTAAGTAGCACCTAGAAGCAGCGATGTGCTGATAAATGTTTACAAATAGGCTGGAGGGGAGGAAGGGGAATGATTTGTAGCATTTGCTGACTTCTGTGGTGTTAATATTCCCTCCTTGGCCAATTTTAAGGGACCAACATGATGCCAGTAAGCACAGAGTTGAAAAAAGATGCCCAGTAGTGCACATGTATGGCATTTCATCATACAGACACAATAACATAAATGCATGTAATATAATTATTTAGAAAGTGATGAGTTTTGAGTATCTGTTTATTTTATTTTAATTTATTTATCCGTTAAGTTTATGTAATTTGCTTTTAAATAAAGGTTGTGTTTAACAATCAGATGACAAAATTCCTAAAAATTTTACAGATGGATTTCAGCTCCAGCATATAAAAGTCTATAATTGTTACCTGGGCACTGTAGGTCCAGAGCAAATACTTACAAATGGTTTGCTGAAAGTACTGAATAAAAGTATTTATCAAGTTTGGCTCTATTTCCTTTCCTATGGTGTGTAATATAAATCAAATAAAACAAAGTCTTTTGACTAAAGACCATATAGAAGGTGAATTTCAAACATCTACAAAGGGAAAGAGACTGTTATTGCTTTGTAATTTGTCCAATTTTTGTACCTAATTTTAAAAACACACATCAATTTGACATAGAACAACTAGGTACAGAGAGAGCATGAGGCATAAAAGAGGCTCAGAGATTAATAAATAGAAGACTACAAAGGAAGTCCTGAATATGATTCAGATAGAGCTGTCCTCTATACCTGAAAGTGAACATCTACAAATGCTTAAAATAGACTTAAAAGCTATCAACAAAATCATGCTATACATTATGGTTTATATTTAAATGTAAAAGAAATACTTTCTATTAATAAATTAGAATTTAATCAATTACATATAACTTAAAAATTTTCAGGTACATAGAGGCAATAGACAATAGATTTATTTTTCTTTCCAACTTTTATGTTAGGTTCCAGTGGTACATGTACATTTTTGTTACATGGGTAAATTGTGTGTCAGAGATTTTGGTGTCCAGATTATGTAGTCACCCAGGTAATAAGCACAGTAACAGATAGGTAGTTTTCTCAAGATGACCCTTTACCCTCAAGTAGATCCTGTTTTCTATTGTTCCCTTCCTGGTATCCATATGTACTCAATGTTTAGTTCCTACTTATAAGGGGAATATGTGGTATTTGATTTTCTGTTCTTGCATCAATTTACTTAGAATAATAGCTTCCAGCTCTATCCATCGAACTGCAAGAAACGTGATCTCATTCTTTTTAATGGCTGCATAGTATTCCCTGGTATATATGTGCCACATTTTCTTTATCCAGACTATGACTGATGGGCATTTAGGTTGATTCCATGTCTTTGCCATTGTGAATTGTGCTGCAATGAACATGTGCATACATGTGTCCTTTTGGCAGAATTATCTATTTTCCTTCTAGTATATACTCAATAATAGGATTGCTGGGTCAATGGTATTTTCTTTGAGAAATTTACACTTCCACCAGCAGTGTATAAACATTCCTCTTACTTTGTAATCTTGCCACCATCTTTTTTTTTTTAATAATAGCCAGTCTGACTGGTGTTAAATGGTATCTCATTGTGGTTTTAATTTGCATTTCTCTAATGATGTGTGATATTGAGCTTTTTTTAAATGTGCTTGTCCACTTGTGTTTCTTCTTTTGAGAAATGTCTGTTCATGTCTTTTGCCCATTTTTAAATACGGTTGTTTGTTTTTGTTAATTTGCTGAAGCTCTTTACAGTTATTGCATATTAGATCATTGTTGGAAGCATAGTTTGCAAATAATTTAACCTATTCTGTAGGTTGTCTATTTACCTTGTTGGTAGTTTATTTCATTGTCCAAAAGCACTTTTGTTTAATTAGGTTCCACTTGTCAATTTTTGTTGTTGAAATTGCTTTTGGAGTCTTTTTCATAAAATCTTTGTCAGGGCCTATGTCTAAAATGGTATTTCCTAGGATTTTTTCTAGGGTTTTTGTAGTTTGAGATTTTGCATTTAAGTCTTTAATCCATCTTTAGCTGATTTTTTGATGAAAGGAAAAGGCCCAGCTTCAATCTTCTGTATATGGTTAGCCAGTTATCCTAGCACCATATATTGAATAGGGTGTCACCTCCCCATTGCTCGATTTTATTGACTCTGTGGCAGATCAAATGGTTGTAAGTGTGTGGCTTTATTTCTTGGTTCTCTAACTTGTTCCATTGGTCTATGTGTCTGTTTTTGAACCAATACTATGCTGTTTTGGTTAAAGTAGTCTTATAACATAATTCAAAGTTGGGTAATGTGATGGCTCTGGCTTTGTTTTTATTGCTTAGGAATACTTTGTCTATCTGGGCTCTTTTGGTTTCATAGAAATTTTAGAATAGTTTTTTTTTTCTAAATCTGTAAATAATCATTGGTAGTTTGATAAGAAGAATATTGAGCCTATAAATTGCTTTGGGCAATACGGCCATTTTAACAATATTGACTCTTTTTGTCATTGAGCATGCAATGTTTTTCCATTTATTTGTGTCATCTCTGTTTTCTTTCAACAGTGTTTCATCATTATCATTGTAGAGATCTTTCACCTCCCTAATTAGCTGTATTCATAGATATTTTATTTTTTTGTGGCTATTGTGAATGGAATTGCATTCTTGACTTGGCTCTCAGCTTGGACATTTTTGGTGTATAGAAATTCTACTGATTTGTGTACACTGATTTTGTATTCAGCAGCTTTGCTGAATTTATCAGATTTAGGAGCTCTTAATTTTATGTTTGTTTTTTTTTTAAAAAAAAAACCTTCAAAGCTAAAAGGAACTTAAGAGGTCATCTAGTTAAACCTCTTCATTTTATATGAAAATCAATTATTAGAAAAGTGAAATAATTTGTCTAAACTCACTCAGAAGTGAGCCAACCTCAGAAGTGGAGCTGTGCTAACTATGATAAGTCTCTTCTTGAGTTACAAAGAGGTTGAATCACTTCTATTGACATACATACCAGATTTAATGAGACCAAGTAGCATATTTAAGATGACATAGTAGGTTATAGTTTGAGTCAATGTTAAGGGTCAAAAATATATATTATACTTTTCTGATTTCTTATTATCACAAAGTCATTATATATTTCATATTTCCCTTCAATGAGAGTTAGTGTTGCTATTTTTCACATGCATTTATTTATCCATTGAATACATATCATTGTTCACCTATCAAGAGCCAGGGAATAGAAGGCGGACAGAAGCAGAGCCTGCCCCTGTCCTTCATGTGCCATGCAAGCCCCTGTAATGGGGTAAATGTACATGGTCAGTAAGGGCTGGCCAGACTCTCATCCTCCTCTTTGAGACCCCCAACCTGGAAACAAACAGACCTCGTCCTTGAAACACTCTCCTCCTAACCAGGCTCCAAATTTCATTGTATAGCCATTGTTGCTAAAGCTTATCAACAGATCTTGGGACTTAAAAAGGAAGGAACCCTTGCAATATTCTTCTTGTAGCTAAGGCTCTAGCTTCACCATCCAAGTTCATAGGCCATTGTTAGCCACTAGGCTTTGTCTCCCACACAGGAATCTCCTAAAAACCTATATTTTGTGTCCAAGATTTTGCTTATCCACTAGTCTGTCCTTTCATTAATTTTCTCGACTCGTTTTCCAGCCTTATAGCAGAAGATAATGATGTTTAATCTCCCATGTTTATAAAAAGCATATACTAGACACAGGCAAAAAAAAAAATAGAGAGAGAGAATATACTTAATCAGGGAATGAACACAGTTCACACCACTATCCACACCCTCTCTGCCTTTTGCTCCAAGATTTTTGTCAGCCTGAGATACTCAAGTAGAAGAATAATTCATTCAAGGTATAATACAAGATATAACAATATGCTTCCTTAATAAAAATCAAAACATCCATTGAAATCAGTGAATGAAATTTTATATATGAT